ACTACTACAATTTCAACTACAGCTTCAATTACAACAACTTCAACTACTACCACCACTACAACAGTAAGTACTACTACTACCACAAACCCCTTTCACAGAGACGCTAACTATCAAGATGCTGTTCACGATTCTCATCACCAGAATCCTGGTCTGTCTTGTAACCTTCGCCAACGGCGCTCCCGTCAACGTCGATCCTCGGAAACCACCACCAACGCAGGGCCCCGGCGGATATGTCTCAGTGCCTTCGTATTCATCGGACAGCTGTGGCCTTGTCACCCCCACCGCCGAGACCTGGAGGCAGCACCTACCGAGCATCCAGGTATTTGCTGCCGCGCACTGGAGCGGCTATCTGAACAACCCGGGCTACAACTCATTCCCGCACTATCTTCGCGACAAGCTTGCGCCCAGTGTAGCGCCAAGTGCCTCCTATTGCGACACTGTTGGAGGATGCAGCTTCTCTTGCCAAGCTCTCAATCCCTCGCTATCGCAACACGATAGGCAGATGGCTTACTTCCTCTTCGAACAGATCGCCGGTGTGGACCACCTGTACAAGAGCCTCCGCGAAGGCTTACAGGAAGGTGCATTGTATGCGGATGGACAAGTGCCTTCACTTGTGGCGAGATACAGCGCTGCATCACGCATCTCGACGCAAATCCAACAGGAGAAGAACGATCACAAGAGGCAAGAGAAGCTCGGCATGGCCGCCGTCTCCGCTCTACTGATGATGGCTGGTGGGGCACTAGCTATCCCAGGTTTCATCGGTCTCGACAAGACTGCCGCGCCTTCGATGGTCAACATGGCCTCGTCTACTTACATCTCCGTCATCGGCACAATCAACAACGCTCGAGCTGACCCTGTGAAGCTTCCTGACAACGTCGAGGCGGTTATACGCTCATCCCTGAACGACTTCCGCCATCACAGTATGATCAGCATTGCCCATGAGTCGAAGCAGCTCATGGAAGGGGACAAGAACGACCATGGCCAAGATCTGCTCAGTTTGATGCAGGGTCAAGACTTCTTCAGACGAGATGGCAATATCCAAGAGGATATCATGAAGATGGCCGAGAGGGTCTTCAAACATGCCGTGATCAACGCATTGTGGCAATGGGAACGGCCCTTTATCGTTGACGCTGACGTATCAACAGGTGCCTGTGAGGTAGACTTTCGTGGACCGACCGAGAACCGAGTGTGCCTGCCGGAACGTCCGGATCACTCATACTGGATATACGCCTTGGATATCTCGCAGGAGAACGACCCTGGTAAAAACCACAAAGCGTTGATCCATGGCCCCACAGGATATCGAAACTTCTTCGAAGGACACAACTCCGACGTCTACGGAGCTACCTTGAAGGACGTCGTCCGCTCATCCCTTGCGGTTCACGAGCACAATCTGTATGACGCTCTACAAACTGCTGACTTCCAGACGGTCCAGTCGGCTCTACGACAGGCGATGAACGCGGGCAACGGCCAATTCAATCTCATGGGCGCCTACACGTTAGCGATCGCACGTAATCCACGCGGCGAAGCCATTTCCAGTGTATGGTCCACTCATGGTCGGAACTTCCCTTGCATGGTCGGCGAGTTCGGATGGAACGACAACACATACAATCCTTACCAGGACCAGACCTTCAACTTCCTGGTGCGGAGTGGTCTCATGTTCTCGGAAGATTGGGAGAACCTTTGCCACAACGAAGGCCATTGCAAAGGCGACAATGACGTCGATTGGCATTCCCGACTCGATGCTCTTCGCAAACCAGGTGATCCGCCGATTCCCGACAGCCTGAAGCACCCTTTCAAGAAGTGCAAGCAGAAGACCAAGCATGATTACGGTGACCCTTCCTCCGACTTCAATCCTCCTCGTGCGAGGGATCTGAGTGCTGAGTTCGCGAATGCGACGATGTCATGGGCCTAGTCTGTCGCGCGACCTATGGAAAAAGTGAACACCATGGAGCCCACGTTGACGTGAGATTGACTACTTTGCAGGCTTCCATCTTGATGTAGGCTGCAAAATTGTCCAATGTCCCCTTTGTATGGCGTGATGTTACTGGCGTGGTAGGAGAGGTGGATGTATCGGGAGATCACCGCGGGTACCTGGAGAAGTCACGAGACTTGTAAGCATTGGTCAGCGATTGGAATGGTTCGATGGACGTGTCGCGTGGAGTATGAACGAGGCTTGTGCCATCCTGTCATGTGTACACTAACATGACTACAAGCCGACATGTGGCTTGTATGCTATCTGCCTATTGGGCCGGCATACAAAATGTACATGTAGAGCAACTCAATAGTGTCTCGCTACACTTACCTGCATGCCGACATTCACGTGCGGTGATACTGCTCTTCTGCGTGCAACATCATGTAACCAGCTTGCCCACCCGACATACCTTCGTCCCCATCGCAATGACCGCGATACATGTTTGAGTCCCTGAGACAGTTTCGTCAAAGATTCCCGAGTCCACATGGAATATGAATGAACACCCCTTGGTTGCATCCAGTATCCACAACGGCGGGTCGCCTGCAAGTAACCGTAGTCTTCACCCGGTATTGGGACGGCAGAGGGTCGTGGGCGAGTATGTGCCTGAGTCCTAGTTGATGTTGTATAACTAGGAACAACCTAGCAAAAACTGTGCGGCAGAAGGCCCGATGCGGCGTCAGGTAAACAATGGCGACAACCCACACGTGGCGGGAGACGCGGGCTTGACAGCATGAGGCCGGATGAGGACATGGCATGATTCTGGCGTTGAGCGTAGAAGCCTCGTAGTTGGGCAATGGTTCGGAGGCGCAAATGCTGACTGCGCACGATGCTGCACGCCTTGTTTTCTTGGGGCAGCGCGCCTTCTGGGGGCGGGCTCGGCCAATGACGGTCGAACGGAGCCGCACCCGAATCATGTTCCTGGGGCGGATCGATCCTGCAGACGAAATTGTCGAGATACGTCCCGTTACTGCAGATATACTGTGGGTATTCACTGCGACATCAGCATCTGAAGCCGAAAGAGAATGTTTCAACGCCAGAATCGACGCAGAAAGAGACATATGCCCGGGCATCGAAGTTCAAGCGACGCCAAACCTCGTCTCGAGAGCACGCCGATGTGCTCGTGCATTGCGCGCGCTATGGAATTAGGTGCAAGCCACTGCCAGCCTCGTGGCAGCCGTGTCCCGGCAGCGCAAAGGAGGGCGTATCAGCCTCATATCGAGTCAGGGGCCTGGGCGCGAACATGGTCCTATGTATGCGGAGGATATCGCACATGGATCCAGCGGTGTGGCTTTTGGAACCGATGGAGCGAAGGATTCATCGTTCGAGCATGTAGGCGTCATACGTGAACGAGTCGGTACATACCCTAGTGATACCCACGCCGCAGCCATTGATCAAAGAGTGGGTAGCAGATGAGTTCTGCAAAATACATCGGCACGCGCACGCGTAAGCTCCAGTACCCTGGTGTCGGCGCTATATGACCGCACCCAATGCCGCGAGAACTGCACGTCCGACTTTACGAAGGTTTGTTGAACTGTGAACACTGCACGCCAGCGTGCAACAGCCACACCGCTGTCAACGGGTCCGTGATATCCGTGATGCTGGCGTCCTCGGAGATAATCGTAGGCATTTGTCGGGTGCCGATGTTCAAGCGGCACAGTCGTTTGTGATTCCTTCGCAACATAATTAGATCGAAATGCCCCCGTAGTTTTGAGTTCGACGATGGAGGATACGGGTGGGGCGGAACAGCAATGGATCGCTGCAGGGTGACAAAGATCCGACGCTAGGCCCCGTGCGGTCGGCGCTAGCGTGGGATGCCTGATCTGACCTGGCCGCACGCACAGGCAGACCTTCCCTCCACAACTACGAACCCTTGGATCAACACCATGTTTCGCGTCGATTGCTGCATTCAACACATGGTTTCAGGGTCTAGAAAGTTTCGACGATTTAAACAGCCCCCCGTTATTGCCGGACTATACTGGTTGGTGCCTCCCGAAAGCTTCCAACTCGGTCAAGACCTAGCTCCCGTAGCTACAGGTGGCACGACTCGTCCATTGGATGTCCCTGTGACCTGAGACATGACCGTGTTCTTGTGCAAGGGACTGCCATACTCGCTGTCGTGGCGGCATGTTTGTACTGCCGGCGAGGCGGAAATTGGTGTCCCGTCAGCCAGCAACCAACCAAGAACCATCTTTGCTACCGACCGAATGGGCGGAATGGATTTCTCCAAGGTCATTGGGATGCACTCGAAATGCCTGGGCGGATCATGATGGAGCGAACCCGTCCAAGGGTTCGTCATTGATGCCCGGATCGTGCGGTTGGCAGAACCTTTTGTCGTGAGTTTGGGTTCCACCCTTCACGGAGAGTTCGTGCGCCGCATGCAAGACCCCGCTGATGCGCCACGATTATCGTGCCTTGCGTACGGTCCGTGTACAAGCCGAGCTTCGAAGCCAATGCGACACCAGCGTCGTGACGGTAGTCAGCGCGCCATTGCGCTTCATGACATGGATGGAGCTAACGGCCATGAGCGCAGCCCCACTCTTCACTGAACATAACCCTCGAGACCCTATCCTAGTGGCAAGCTCTCGATCTCGTTTCTTTGACCTGACCCGTCTATCCGCAGCTCGTCAATCCTCCACGTCCACATGTCTCGCATACCTCCCCGGGCAGGCCCACGATAATCCAGTATGCAGCTGCCTCCGGTGGATGTCCTGTTGGGTTGGCCGACTCCAAATTACATTGACCCGGAAACGCGCGGCCCTGCCCTCCTCATCGTCAACAGCATCCTCATCGCACTAACCATCCTCGTTGTGATTGCGCGGTTATACACCCGTATAGTGATCAAGAGGTGGTTCGGTATTGACGATATCTTCATCCTCTTTGCGCTGCTCTTCACGTGCGGTCTCACTGCTGTCGTTCTCCTGGCAAACCTCCGATATGGATGGGATAGGTAAATAACCCGATCCCCATTCGCATAGCATACAGCTAATCATCAAACCACTATAGACATGTTTGGGATATACCCTTTCACATGTTCGTTCCGGCCTACAAAATCGCCATGACAGCCAAGGTCGTCTTCACAGCGGCCGCGAGCTTCACGAGACTCTCTCTGCATTGCTTCTACTACCGATTGGTTACAGACTCGGGGAAGACGTGAGTACTTTTGGCGTTGCTGTCGCATTATGATAGCCTTGCTAATTCGCTTAGATGGTTCAAGTGGGCGGTTCATGTCAATGTAGCCTACACACTCGGCATCTTGATATCGTTTCCCTTCATCGCCATCTTCTTCTGCACACCCATTAAGAACTATTGGACCATTGGCGCACCGGCAGACACTTGCATGGACGAGGGAACTGCGACTCTCATTTGCGGAATTATCAACTGTGTCGCGGATTTTCTTACTACCCTAACACCAATACCTTTGGTCATGGGCGTGAGTTGGCTCAATCCCATACGCAAGGCAAAACACTACTAACTGATCCCAGCTTCACATGCGTCTGCGTGAGCGCATGGCTGTCGCCGCGCTATTCGGTATGGGGCTGATTGTCTCTGCTGCTGGTATTGTGCGTACCTGGTTCATCTATCGGAGTCTCTTCAACAACGAGTACGATCAAACCTGGTACGCATATCCACTGTGGATTGCGGCCGCTGTAGAGATAGACTTGGGTGTAGTAAGTTATTACGTACGACTGCTAATCAGTGACACGATGCTTACTCGCCACAGATATGCGCCTCGGCCCCAGTACTAAAACCCCTCCTCGCGAAGATCCCCTTCAGTCTATCGCAATCCTTCTCAGGTGGCATATCCTTCAAGAAGAGCGCGAACTCATCAAAGACGCTAACCGCCAACGCATCAGCGTCGCATTCCTCCACGAACCGGAAATCCACAGCACCGCGCAATGCGCCAGAACTCGCAAACGACAAGGGCAACAGCTATGAGATGAAGCATTGGGCGGATACAGAACAGGATCTGGAACGAGGAAGCCAGGAAGCTATTCTGGAAGAGGAGGAAGCTCCCAAAACGGGCATGTCGCGCCTGTGGGGCAAGGTCCGCCCGAAAAGCAACAACGGAAATATGACTACGGACACCGACATGACGATCACTTTGACCAGCGAAGTGGAACTGCAAGTCGAGCGGATGAAGCAACGTCCGGCGCGGTACGAGACACACGGTGACCTTCACGAGAACCACATGCCATTACCACCGTTGGCACCGCGATCTAGTGGACACGACCGGTGACGCCACGATCCGACTTGCGCGATCAAACATGATAGCGACAACGTCCTCGAACCGACATCAAAGATCTCACGTCGCGCATCATGTACGCGCAAGCGGGAAACATAAAGTTACGACTGGCATATTGGGGGCGCTTACATCTTGGTGGATTTTTCTGCATCGCTTTAGCATATGATACCACGTTCGACGACTCTATCAAGGGTACAAAAATAGACATCTCAGAATACAGACGGCCAGGACGCCGAATACATCAATAATCTCAGTGCGACGCGCCACTACGTCCACACGCTCACCTCGTGCATCCGTGTAGTGAGCGGCCCGCATTGGACGTCAATGACAGAAGGCTAACATGTCAGCAGTATGACAGCTCTTAGCTTCGCGCACAGGAATTTCAACGATCCAGCTCAACACTTTCGCAGCCTCGAACTGAGAGAGAAGGCGTTCTGCGCCATCTTCATCCTGTCCACGGTACCCTTGGATCGCAGCCCTTGAGCTCACCCGGCGAACATCGGCCAGACTATTGAACGAACTCCAACCACCCAACTGCGAAAGCGCCGACCATAAGCATGCCGTAAGCGGTGAATCTGGCCCTGCAAACCTTCGCCGTGATACTATTGACTCCAGCGAGCTTCAAACTGCATGAGTTGGCTCACTTCGCCTTTCAAAACAACCATCCAAGGTTTACACGTCACACGCATACCTGTCGGCACTGTCACAAAAGGACGATCAAATCTAGAACGCCATCGGATGCGAATCCCGAGGCCAACTCAACGCACTCTCGACTGTGGAGCACCAAGAACTGTAAATGATTCACACTGCTTGCCATGGAAAGTTACGGACGTGTTCTCACGTGTATGCGGCGCAACGGCGTGGACTCCGACGGCTCTTGGAAACGCTAGCCCAGGTCTTGTCATCCGACTGATGTTCCTCGGCAAAGCTTATATCTTCCGGAGCTACAGCCTTATACCCTGGTCTCCCCCGCAATCTCTACAGCCAAAATACGGGGAGGGCAGGCGCCAGAGAACCTGGAGCTGCTTCCTCGTGACGTCCTTAGGCTGATAAAAGTACAGGCCTTGTCGCTGTTGGAGGAGAAATTGCACTCCGTGCATTCCCAACTGCCTTTCTCATCTAGTCCACGGACGCAGACATGAACTATGTATATTGACGAAGTAAGAACGAGGCTGCAGAGACATTTGTTTAAATGTGGGCGATGTACCAGTTCTCTGGTTGATCCAGACGATCGCCCGGTTCTTCTCTCGCGGTAATAAGAGCAACAGCCAGTCATGCCTTCACCATCCAAGATCGCCGCGCTTGGCCTTGTGGCTACGGGCTCTCTTGTAGCCGCTGGACCTTGCGACATCTACGCCTCGGGTAATACGCCTTGCATCGCCGCTCACAGTACCACTCGCGCGCTTTACAATTCCTTCAGCGGTTCTCTTTACCAGGTGAAGCGCGGATCCGATGGCGCTACGACTAACGTCGCACCTCTATCTGCCGGTGGTGTAGCCAATGCCGCGACTCAAGACAAGTTCTGTGCCAACACCACATGTCTCATTACCATCATCTACGATCAATCTGGTCGTGGTAACCACCTCACTCAAGCTCCTCCAGGAGGCTTTAACGGCCCGGAAGCTAATGGCTACGACAACCTGGCTGGGGCTATCGGCGCACCAGTTACGTTGAACGGGAAGAAGGCATATGGTGTCTTTGTCTCACCGGGTACCGGATACCGCAACAACAAGGTCAGCGGCTCAGCGACTGGCGATGCAGCAGAGGGCATGTACGCCGTCCTCGACGGAACACATTACAACGACGCATGCTGTTTCGACTACGGCAACGCCGAGACGAACAATCTCGACACCGGTAAGCATACTCTCACATCGTCTTATCAACGGCATATATCTAACAGAAAGCACAGGCAACGGCCACATGGAGGCTATCTACTTCGGGACAAATACCATATGGGGCACCGGCGCCGGCTCCGGCCCCTGGCTAATGGCCGACCTGGAAAACGGTCTCTTCTCCGGCATGTCGCCCAAAAACAACCCAGCGGACCCTACTCTCACAGACCGCTTCCTCACCACCGTGCTCAAGGGCGGAGCAAACAAGTGGGCGCTCCGCGGCGGAAACGCCGTTTCCGGCGGCTTGTCGACGTACTACAACGGCGCGCGACCCAGCGCCTCAGGCTACAACCCCATGAGCAAAGAAGGCGCCATCATCCTAGGTATCGGCGGCGATAACAGTAATGGAGCGCAAGGAACATTTTACGAGGGCGTTATGACGAGTGGGTATCCGAGTGATGCGACGGAGAACGCTGTGCAAGCCAATATCGTCGCGGCGAAATACGCCACTACAAGTCTGACCAGCGGACCCGGCTACACAGTCGGTTCGTCAATCTCTCTCCGCGCTACAACAGCAGGATACACAGACCGCTACCTCGCACACACCGGCTCAACCGTAAACACGCAAGTCGTTTCTTCCTCCAGCACCGCACTGCTCAAGCGACAGGCTAGCTGGACCGTACGCGCTGGACTCGCTAACAGTGCTTGTTACTCGTTCGAATCCAAAGACACCGCTGGTAGTTACATTCGCCATTTCAACTTCGTGTTGCAGCTGCAGGCGAATGATGGGTCGAAGGCGTTCAAGGAGGATGCGACGTTCTGTCCTCAGTCAGGGTTCTCGGGGTCTGGCAGCTCGATTCGCGCGTGGGGGTATCCGACGAGGTATATTCGTCATTACAACAATGTTGGAAACGTTGCTAGTAACGGTGGTGTTCATGATTTCGATGCCGCGGCGAGCTTTAATGCGGATGCGACTTGGAGTGTTGGTACGGGGTTGGCTTAGGGGGGTGGTAACGGGATGGGGGTGGTGTTGAGTTGAGATGTTGTTGGAGTGGGCTGTTCACGTAGGGGAACCCCTCACAATGGTTTTCGTGAGGGATTCCCCTACGTAAACAGCCCATTTCTTCAATATGTCAAGCCAGGAAGAGCTGGATACTTTGGTATTGAGCTCGAAGAACATCTCGATAGGTGGTTGTAGCACTCGAAGAAGCCACTTAATTTCATGGCTGCATTGTTTGTTAATCGGTTTCTTCGAGTGCTACAACTGTGTGTCTTGAATTGTTACGAAGATAAATTTCACAGTGTATAAACTGACCAAACATAATTCTTGCAGCACGCACCATCCACTGTACATCCACCATTCATCCATCATACCAACACAGCAATTTCACACCGTCAAAACCACTCGCGTCCCATAACTATATTTCAAGACTTCACTACTACTAAGAAACCCTCACCATGGCAGCGCGCACTCCCGCTACATTCAATCACTCCTACTCCACCAAACAACAGACCCACAATCCTTCCACAGCATGTCTACAGCCACAGCACACGTGAAGCGTCCTTTTAAAGGTGGTGGCGCTCTAAAGGCTCGAAATCGTGCCGAAGAACTTGAAAGCGAGAAAAAGTCAATTCACCAAACACCAGACCCTCAATCCTTTCACAACATGTCCCCAGCCACAGCCACAGCACACGCAAAGGTTCCTTTTGTAGGTGGTGGCGCTTTCAAGGATCGAGATCTGGCCAATAGAGCACTTGAAAGCGAGAAAAGGTTGCGAGAGTTGATGGGCATGTTGCTTGAAGCCGTGCTATCAGGTCCTCTCGAAAAAGAAGAAGTATCGTCAGCACAAGAGTTTGAAGCTGATGATGACGAGGAGTGGGAAGATGTCGATGATGACGATGATGACAAGGAAGATTGGGAGGATGTCCATGATGAGGATGTATGGGAAGATATCGACGATGAAGAGGATGACGAAGAGTTGGAGGATGTTGAGGATGAGGATGGTGGGGAGGATATCGATGATGACGATGACTTGGAAGACACCGAGAACGCTGAATCTGCGTTACTAAGTTCGTTGCGAGCATTGATGCAGCCGCTGACAGTCTCAAGTCTATCGGACCCATCGACGCAAACACTTCCACTACCAGAGTCATCACGATGCGACTCCGAGAATGACTGCTCCTCTGACGACCATTCTTCTGACCTCATTAGCGACCCCACTAACGACATCTCTTCAGTCGCTAGCTCTTTCAACGACAAGTCTTCAGACAACAGCTCTCCGGACCAAAGCTCTTCTATCGCTAGCTCTTCAGACGACAGCTTTCCAGACAAAAATTTATCAGACAGCGATTCCGCAGAATCCTCCAACTCCTTCGACTCCTCGCACTCCTCACGCTCCCCAGACTTCTCCTCTAACTTCTCCTTATTCTTAACCTCCTTCTTACTTAACAACCCCCCTACCAAAGACTACCCCCCTATCGGCCACCTATCCTTCGCTACCATCGAAGAAGCCCGCACCGCTTACTATTCAATGTTAGTGAAGGTGGAGAATCTACTTGTAAAGTGGTATCACAAGGACAATGTAACAGCACTTGTCAAGACCTTGATCGAATCTGCTCAGGCGTCGTATGCCGAGCAGGAGGAGTTTTGCAAGGATAGGCGCATAGTTCAGGAGTGGTTCGGAGGTATAGATAAGTGAACGTATGTTGTACTAGCTATGATAGGATGCGATGGAAACGAGGTGGTGGCCAAAGAAAGCATCGTGGATGCGGGTATGTATTTGCCCGCCTGTTCTTGCAGCACTACAGTATTGTTTGCGCAGCGAATGCAGTAGTCATTAAGGAGAGATTATGCACAAACAGTCTCTTTCGCAAAGTCCATCTATGGTGCAGTGCAGTGATGGTGCGGTCTTCGGCATGACCTCGGGATGCAGCGATGGATAGCACTGACACTAATCCATTCCCGGACTAATCCAAGGTCCCGACAGGCGCAACCAGACATCCGGTTTCAGCGCACGACGCAGTCCAACAATCCAACATATCTCCACTCTGTGACTCTACACACGATGTAACTTGAACCAGTCATATAATGAATCGCTCTTCCCCATAAATAGCGAAGGAACAAGAACCACAAGCACATTTCACGAGCAGTTCTTCTCCTCAGCGGCATTCCTTTTGGTGTAGCCTGTTATCGACCTGTTCTAATCAGCCATCATGAGCAGCCCTCCGCAGATCTGCATCACAGACATGCCTGACCCCACACAACCTCAGGTAGACTTCCTAGAGTCGACATGGTTCAAAACGCATGGCAAAACTCTAGCCTTCCCTTCTCCTGACCACGTGCGCTCATTCATACAGCCGCGCCAGGGCGCCCGCCCAGTAACATTCGCGCAACTCGGTCTCGTCGTCAAATTTGGGGTCGATGTGCATACTTCAGAAGGTGTGGCTCTCTGGATGATGAACAAGCTTCTAAAGGATAAGGTCCCCGTGCCTGAAGTCTACGGTTGGAGGGTCGTGGAGCGGGCAGGCAAAAGTAGCGAGACGTTCATTTACATGCAGCATATACAAGGACCTACGCTTGAACGGATGTGGGAATCGATGTCTTCTGCGGATAAAAGCTCGGTCTGCAGTGATCTTCGAGCCATGACGTCGTGTTATCGCGAGGTTAGATTCTCTGGGTTGCAGCCACACATTGGTGAGTGTAATCCCATCAGTTTGCAACGCCTCTAACAGTTCACACAGGGTCTATCCGCCAGGAAGCTGGATCGGATCGCTGTCTTGAAGGTCTGCCATCACTAAGACCCTTTCCTACTCGGGCTTCTTTTCACGACTGGCTGTCCTGGCTATGGCGACGCGATGTGCCAAACCCAAAGAGCATCGAAGATCCCTGGCGACAGCTGCTCCCTGACGAAGGACCTATAGTTCTAACGCATGGTGATTTACGGCCGGCTAACATTATCGTTACGGCCCAGTCACCTGTCCGTGTGGCGGCTATCGTCGACTGGGAGCAAGCGGGGTGGTACCCAGACTATTGGGAGTACTGCAAAGCCGCTTTTACGGCATCACATGATGGGGAATGGCGCGGATGGATTGACCAGTTTTTGAAGCCTCAGGAGGCTGCCTTGGAGGCTTTCGATTTCTATACCATGGCTCTTGGGAAGTTCTGATAGTGAGCGATAGAGCAAGAGTTGAAGGCTTGGAAAAATTGTATTATTTTATATAGTATGGTTCGATGACCAGCACCGATGTGACAAAATTGACAAGCGTCAAACGAGGGTAACGGATCCAGCGAGACGGATCAAGCCTTCACCCGTAGACGCATACATGGACTATGACAAGGTAAAGGAATTATATCACAGCCTGCATCCGTGGAGAAGAATCGAGCTCTGGCATGCTCGAATAGCATCCCAAAACGACCTGGCCCCGCGACAACACTGCACCTGAGCCGATGGATACATCACTCGTTCTGTGGCCCTGCTTGCTCTGCGGCCTGCTGTTGACGCTCTGCAGCAGGTCGAAGCCCGATACCAACATTGGGGGGGTCTCGCCTTGCCTGGACCGTTTCAATGGCCGATTCCTGAAGATAACCTTTCTGGACGAGGCGGCGCACATAGTCCATCGTCCACTCCTGGCATCTACGGTTCGTAGTCTACCTGATTCAGCGCGCTAGTCTAAGAAAGACTGTGTGTTACTCACATCGTTCACTGGTGCGAGGAAGTTTTCGCTCTTCCTAGGTGGCGGGACCTGCTCAGCTATCTTCTCGAGAGTACCCATTGCGGTGTAGTGGTCCATCCTTTCGCCGTCCCACTTGTGAACCAAATCCTCTTGCACTTCACCGAGCGGTACCAATTGTGGTGCGCGAGCTGTCTTCGTATGGTCATACTTGCGCTTGAATTCCAGCTTGAAACCTGACATTGGTGTTCCAACAACGTGGATCGCTGTCCCAACAAGACCGTCCTCTTCGTCTGGCGCCCAAATACCGAAGTGAGCTCGCTGGTTCTTTGGAGCGGGCCAGATGATCAGATACAAAGTTCGTGTGGACATTGTGATGGGTATTTAGATGAATGGATTGCAGAATTGAGGATAATGGACAATGGCTACTGGTGATGCAAGACAATACCATTATGCTACTTATACCACCGTATGAGCCATAGGAATCAGCTACTACAGTCAGGCTTCTCAGTGAGCCACCGCTTTGAGCCATTGCTATGAGCCATCGCTCTGAGCCATGAGTTTGAAACACCAACATGAGCTACGGTAACGGGTCCACATAGAGTGGACTTCGAGTCACTACGACAACTCAAGCTCCACGACCGATACACTAACGCTGAGGGTACACACAGAGCCATGTGTCTCAGCTAAGAGTCAGACATACCGAGGGAAAACTAGGCAAGAGCTTGAGCCCGTAGAAACGTCACGCTCTCGGCATCAGTTGGTGATTTGTGAGCGTTTGGCTGCTGCCATGGTGTAGATACTAAAGGTAACGCTAAATAGATCTATAAATGCCATGAGTTACCAGATGCGTGTTATCAATGGACTTGTTAGCTTCGGTAGTAATGAGAAACTAATGTTTATGAAGTAAGTATGTGGGACGTGCTTTATGAGAAGAAAATGATGCGGAGAAGGACGAACAGAACGGACTCCTACAGACTAATACTGGTACAAAGCTACCGTGGTACCGATCGCTACAGAACAGATAGAATGCAGAGTAGGCGGACCAACATGCCAAGAGTAAGGCAAGAGGGGAGACGCCGAGAGAATAACCAAGATCCTTGAAGACGAACTTGGACTGAGGAAGCGGCGATATACCAGTCTCAAGGAAACGAGTACGCAGTAGGGCAGTTGTCGAAATTCATTAATTAAAAAAGGTCGGTGCAAGCAGCCCCAAAATATCTTCTCTTGTGAGTGAACAAAGCAATATGGACTTGATCGAGCGGACGAAACACAAAACCCTTTACTCCAAAAAGGCCCACCAATGTCCCACAATGAACATACTGATACGTACGAAGAAAGGCTATACCGAGGACGATTTCTGTAACCCAGTAGTAGCATGGACTCATTCCAAGTCGCATCGCCTCGCCTCGTCTCTTATCACCTCCTGGTCTTCCTTGCAATATGCCAAACAACCAAATTCCCCTTCCCACGCATCCCTAGCAGTTGCACCCACCAGGCCCCTGAGTCTGGTTCGCCTCAGGCCTGAGGTTAACGCCCTGTCGTTGCTGGCCCGGTCTCAGGTTCCTGGGTCCCGCCTGGTCGATGGGCAGTTTCTTCGCGATAGCCGTGAAGAGCTCCTTCACGTTCTCGCTTGTCTTGGCCGACGTCTCGAAGAAGAGGAGGCCGGCTTCGCGGGCGTATTGCTCGGCGTCGGCGGTGGAGATGGCGCGCTTGTCGGGGGATTCGGTCACGAGATCGAGTTTGTTGCCGGCGAGGGCGATGATGATGTTTTCGTTGGCTTGGCGTTGGAGTTCTTTGACCCAGGCTTTTGCTTTGTCGAGGGAGGCCTGGGGGTGTTAGTCTGGGGAAGGTGGAAGGTGAGGGATAGGGACGTACGGCCTGTGTGATGTCGTAGACGACGACGGCGCAGTTTGCGTTTCGGTAGTACATGGGCGCGAGCGACTTGTAGCGCTCTTGGCCGGCGGTATCCCAGATCTCGAACTTGACCGTCGTGTTCTCATCGAGGGCGATGGTTTGGGTGAGGAAGGCGGCGCCGATGGTGGATTCCCGGTAGTCGTCGAATTGGTCCTGCATACATTAGTCCTCGGAACATGTCTGGACATGTGGTATGGCGTACCTTGACGAAGCGCAATACTAGAGACGACTGCGGCATGTTAGCTTATGTCATGGCTGCCTTGATAGGCCTGCGCACCTTTCCGACGGCGGATTCACCTGGGCAGGTTAGTCATGTCTTCATACACATATCATAGTAATCTCGTACCCAACAGCACCAGCTTGAACTGTGCGAATCTGGAGCCTCCGGGCCGTTGGCCTTGCTGCATCCTGGCCGACATGATGGGGGTGACGCGGCGCTAGCGGGTTGTGGCGGAGGGGGCTGGTGTAGAGTGGGCGAGGGTGGTGGTGCGAGTAGTGGGCGGTCAAGGCGGGACCGGGTCGGGGTATGGGTGAGAGAGGCGTGTTGGGGTGTGGTGAGGGTGAAAGAGCTGGATGGTGCTGTGACGAGGTGCTGCGTCTGGTGCTTGGCCCTAGCGCGCGAGTCGGGGACCCTTGGCCGTGCATACAATCCATCTAACTAAGAGCGCGCCAAGACATAGCATACGCTAACGCAAACAGGTAATTTTTAAAATATAGTATACTAGCGTTATACTACTTAAGAGAATTAGCGCTCTTAGTAAAAAATTTTTAATTTAAATAATTCTTAGATTTATTCTAAATTAATTTAGACTAGATTGTACCTATACTATAATATAAAGTCTTTATTATTTATATTTAACGCTAAGCTTAAATTTATTAATCTTAATATATTAGACCTAGATATTTATAAGAGATTTAACTTATATTTATTTAGCTCTAGTAAAAGTAATAATAGTAGTATTAAAGACTAGATTAAAGTATATAGTTAAATTAATTCTAAAATAATTCTAGACTTATTTAAACTAGAGTATAGTTTAACTTACTTTTAGAAATAGTAGCACGCCTTTCTTAGAGGCTAGAGTTATTAAGTATACTATATATCTACTTTAAT